ATGTGCCTGGAGACGGCATGGGAAGCTGAGTGCCACCCCCCACCCCCACCGCCAACCCCTCCTTGACCTATGGACTGCTTCATCGGCTGTTCATTTGTATCCTTTATAATAAACCCTAATCATCGTATATTGTTTACCTGAGTTCTGAGTTGTTCTAGTGAATTATCAAACCTGAGTTGGGGGGTTGTGGGAACCCCTAAATTTGTCATCAGCTGGGCATTTACAACTGGCGCCTGAAGAGCGGTTAGTCCTGCGGGACTGAGCCCTTAACCTGTGGGGTCTGTGTTCACTCTGAGTCGTGTCAGAATACTGAATTGTAGGACACCCAGCTGGGGTCAGAGAATTGAGAACTGTTGTGGGAAAAACCAAACAGTATTGTAAACAAGGACTCTAATGTCACTGCTGCCACCACCAACACCACCATGGGAAACTGCCTTTTTGTAGGTCAAAAACAGTCGAGTAACAGCAGGTTGATACGATTCAGTCATTTGCAATGTCTTCAACATTCACATTTTGTAGCAGGCACAGTGCTTACGCTTTACGTGTGTCCTCCCAGATGTTCCTCACAATACTCTTGAGATAGGTACTGTTAAACAATTGCCAGTTTACACACGAGGAGACTGAGGCTTCTGGCGGATAAGAAAAAGGCCCAGACTATGGGCCTCGTGAGGGGCAGAGCTGGCTTCGAGCTCAGGCCGGGTGACAGCAGACGCTGAGTGTGTTGGTTTCCTAGGGTCGCCTCAACAAAGTACCACAAACTGGGCGACTAAAACAACAGCAATTTGTTCTCAGTTCCAGAGGCTAGAAATCCAAAATCAAGATGTCGAGAAGGTTGATTCCTCCTCGGAGGCTCTGAGGGAGAATCTGCTCCTTGCCTCTTCCTGGCTGCTGTGCTTGCGGGCGATCCTTGGCAACCCTTGGCTTGTAGCTGTCTCACTCTGATCTCTGCCTCTATCGTCGCATGCTCTTCTCCCGGTTTTTTTCGGTCTCTCTTATAAGGATGCCAGTGATTGGACTCTGGGCCGACCTCATCCAATACGACCTCACCATGGTTACATCTGCAAAGACCCTATTTCCACAGATGGTCACATTTACAGGAACTGGGGGTTAGGACTTTGACATTATCTTTTTGGGGGACACAATTCAATCTATGACACTGAGCTTTTAAACAAGAACTCTACAGCTGCAGGACGTTGTGTGCCTGTGTCAGGGGCCAGGATCCCACCTGCCTGTTGGCCTCCTGGACCACGCAGGCCCTACACAGGGACAGCCTGACTAGGGTGACAGCATCTGTGCAGGCAGAGGGCTGGGATGGAGGGGCCAGGCTCCTCCACTGAGGGGGAGGGGAGGCCTGCTGAGTGGTGTCCAGGTGGATGACCAGGACAAGCGGGCAAGGCCAGGGGGCATTCTCCAGGCTGTGGAGAACACGCTTCTCTCCCTGCAGCATGGTTTAAACCACCTTGACAGGAAAACCTCAGACTTAGAATCTGGGCTGAAGATGCTTTGTTTCTCTTGCTAATCAATTCTCCTGCTTTTGGCTAGTGGTTAGAAAGCTTTCAACAATGACGGCAAAAAGCTTGCCAGGAGCTCCTGGAAGACATTGTGTAAGTGTTCTACAGAAACGGAGCAAGTTAAATGAGAAATAATTACTCCGTGAGTAGGATCCTAGACTATGTGACTGCACATTCTCAATGCTTTCCTGGAGAGAGAGACCGTCATGAAAATGGGTTAAGTGCTATGAAATAGCTATTGTCACGTAGGAACCGCAAGCCCCAGGAAGAGTCCTGATAAATAGTGCCCAGGATTGTGGTCACACACAGCTCTTGACATTTCCTGGGAGAGCTGAGGAGGGCAGTGACGTCCGTCTTGACCTGGGGCTCCGCCTGGAGCAGTTCTTGGCCCGAAGTGAATTTAGTACTTGAGGGAACTAGCTGGGAGCCTGTCACGTTGAGCAGACGAATAGAAGCTGGTCCTGTCCCATCTTTTTGGTGCCTAACAATGGTTCAGGTGAGCTAACGTGTATCCATTTGGTGAGACTTGAAATGCGTTTTTTTTTTCCCCCAGGGTTCTCATGAAACACTGCCTGCACATTTAAACGAGCCATGCTTCTGAGGCCAAGCAAACAAAATTGCCAAAGAACAACAGTTTCCAGCTTTCCCTTAGTTAGAAATTTTCCTTGGGTAGTTTTAACAATGGATTCAGCTACTAGAAACCCGAGTGCCTGGGCCAAGTCTTCCTGTGCTATCTGTTAACACTGCCCTTTGCCTTTCGGGCCTCTGCCCCACGGCTGGCCACACAGACTCTTTTTCTTGGGCCAGACTGGGGTTTCTTGAGTGTGACTCAGCCTGGGGATTAGGTCCAGGCAGAGGAGATAAACGTTTTAGTCTGATTTCTCCTTGGGAGGAGGAAGTTCTCCTCTGAAGTTTGCTCCAACGTCACTTTTTTATGACTTTTCCTTCGTTGCTCCCTCGTGCTCCCCAGCTTTTGGTCCATGGACCTTCTCATTCAGTGCTTTCCCCTTCCAGTTACCTTCACTTCACAGCTTCCATGGAGATGCCTCCAGGATGCTAGCACCAACCACTTTCCTGAGGACCAGATCTAGATGTCCGCCTGTCTGCCGGTTACCGTCACCCAGCATCCCAAATGCAACATTTCTAAAACCGGATTCACTGTTCGGCTGCTCCCACTTAAAGACAACCTGGCTCAGACACTCAGGTTTAAAAGCTACTCTCTGGTGCAATCAGTTGTTAAGCCTTACAGAATTTCCCCTCCACAGACCCTTGGAGCCACCTCTTTCTTTCCATTCTCATGGCCAGGCTGTCTTGCAGGCCCCATCACCTCTCAGCTTCCCTCCTAACCGGTCTCCCAGCTTCCTGTGTCTTAAAACTCTTTCTAGTAGCTTAATTGATTCTATTAACTTCACAACTCTGCTCGTGTCCTTTCCTGCTAAAAAACTTCCTAGGGCTTCCCTCTTCTCTAGCCCCTTCCTGGAATGAAGGCTGTTCTCAAGATGGGACCTTCTTAGGAATACAGGGCATTCTCTTCGTGGTCCTATTTCAGGCACAATGAGCAGAATCTTCCTTTTTCCACCTCTGGGCCTTTCCTGATAATCAGCTCCCAGGACTGCCCAAGGGCCCATTCTCATCTCCATCTGTTGCATCACCAACTTTCAAGGCTTATTTCAGTTGCCACCTCTCACCTCCCCACCTTGCTGAGACCTCATCACACTCCGAGGCTTCATTTGTGGCATATGCACATAAAGGTACAGGTATTTGAACTCATGAGTCAAGCTACTTGAGTCCCCAGGATAGGTCCCCTGGTTTCGTAGATGGCTGATGCTGACTGGGTGAATGCTGACTGCGTGCCCCAGCTCTCCTGGCCCGTCACAGCCTTGTTTCCCCTGCTCCTCTTCTCACCCAGACACAGGCAATACATTTTCCATTTACCTTCCTCCCCAACCCCCACTGATTTTAAAGTTTGTTGGAGCCAAATGCAAATTTCCAAGATTCAGGTCAACACCAATTTAGAATTATTTCTGCCTGTTGGAAAAGAAAACTTTGAAAAAGACATTTGACTTTTTAGCTTGGGAAAAATTTGAAAGCTATAGCCTTTCAAGGAAACAGGATACTTATAAAAAAAAAAAAAAACCAACCCAAACCAGTCCGGCTTTACGTAGTTCAATCCTGGCCAAGCTAATCTAATCTTTTGTGACAGAGCAGCAGACCTACTAGATCAAGGGGGAAAACAATAGTTGGAATTTATCTTTCCGGCTTTGAAACTTTTGATTCCTGGGTCCCACTCAATATGATTATCATTAAACTAGCTGAAAGGTTAGAGAGAGCGAGCCAGTTCCAGCTGGGGGACAGAAGTGGTGCTCCCCAGGTGGTTGGCCTGAGCCCAGTGGCCCTGAACATTCGCCTGAATGGGCCAGACGACAGAAAAGAGAACATATTCGAAGTCAGCATTAATGTCAAGGTGGAGTGGGGGTGGAGATGAATAACCAGCAAGAAAAGTAACCTTGGCAATTACTTAAGTGACAACACAAGTATGTAGGCTTGCCCAGAAGAGTTCACATTTAGGGAAAACAGCAACAATCACTCTCAGTGTGGCACTATATGAAGAACGTGATACTGGGATGGAGAAGTACGATGTGGAGGGAGCCTGCAGTCCTACACCTGCTTTAACTCCCCCTCCTTCCAAACTCCACAGCCAAAGAAGGGAAAGAGAAGCCGGACGACATTCAAGGGAGAGCCACAGAAGTAAGTAAACTAGGCTGGGACATGGGAATTGAAGACTTCTACAAAAAAGTTAAATGAATTAGGTTTATTGAACTTAGAGATGGACAACCTTATAAGGACAATAACAAGCAAAAATAGAAATAGGTTTAAATTACAACACATGAGAATAAAATTAAATGTAAAGAAGACTTTCCTCAGTCTTAAGAGGGATAAATGGGTTGCTAAAGTAGAAGAGATCTCTCTAGGATGGTTTGAGTGTGCTTGGGGCAGACCTGGATAAACTGCAAATACCTGTCTCCAGCCCACACTGTTAGGAGGAACTACCTCAAAGCACTTCTTTAAATGCAAAGTTGAAAATTAAGAGGCAGCCAATGGCTCAACTGCTATAATGGGCCCAGCCTTGGTCAGAAGGAAGCTATTCCTGGGTACCAGCTTTGGGGGACACTAGCAGCAACCCAGGACTTTCCTGTACGGGATACAGCACAGATCTGATCTGTGGTGCAGCCAAACTAATACACAGGTGAGGGGATGCTTTCTATTCTCCCACTTTCAGCACAAATAAGCCCCTGATAAAGTATCTAATCTAAGTAGATGGAAAAATTGGAAATTTGAGTGTATGGCACCCTAAGCTGTTAATGTCTGTTCTTGAACACTATCCCAATTCAAGCGTTTTTCTTTAACTAAGGAGTGATGTAGCATGGAGGAAAAAAAGAACACAATGATTTTCCCTATGACACTGCTGATTAATAATCACACGGTCAGTTACATGTAAGTTAATTCTTTAAATTTAATCAGTCCTTTATAAAACTTCCCAATTAATTAGTAAAAGATGGCTTATTTTAATAGCCTTAAACATTGGTTGCTATTTAAACAAGACATTCTAAAAAAAAGCAATCACATAATAGTTTATAGTAATTTACATGTGGATGGTATACATTTAGATACAGAGGTAGAAGTTCACTTTTACAACGTTTCACTAATACACATTTACCAAATTCAAGGCACAAAATAGTTTGCTTTACAAAAAAATACTGTAAAAATGTCATTTGCTGTTCTACAATGTGAATAAAACTTCCCAAAGAATCTTTACACCCTTCCATAAGTACTCCATAGTATATGATTTTCCCCCCTCACTAAGCATAGTTGGCACAAAAATGGGGACTTTTTAAAATGCAGAAGTTCCCATTTTTAGAAACTGTTTCTTTGCAGAGCTGCTGTGTATTCTAGATAAAAGTCCATCCAAAGAAATGAAACACAGCAACTTCCTGAGGAAAGGGCACTTTCTGTATGCAGCAAAATTCATAGGTAGAAAAATGTATGATCCTTTTTAGATAACTAGGTCTCCAGAGTAATGGATACTTACAGCAAGATTTCAGAGAGAAAATTTAAAATTCGGCTAACACGTCAGCCATTATGACTTTAAGAAAGAGACCTGATCACCTTTACGGTAGCAATCAAACATCATCTACTTCAAAATGATGGAGATTTCAAAATTCCTTTTTAAAAGAGCTGTACATACAAACACCATGAAAAAGCCACACAGGCTTTGCAAAACTGAAACTTAGAAACCATGAGAAAATATAGCACTATCAGTCCTTGAAATTGCAAGGGTGTCAATTGGCTAGAGTTTAATTACAAGAATTAATAAACTCTACGGGAATTAAGAAAAACCACACATGTGAAACACACTGTAGTTACCATCTCTAGACTTTCTGTTTGTTAAAAAGAAAAAAAAAAATGGTAGCCTGGAGATGTCACACAGCGCTTGTCTACAAGAGCTGACTGGTGTTAGGCTTCTGCCTACAAAGGACCCCGCTGGCAACAACTGAAGCCCACTCTCGCTGATTACATTTTCCCAGTACTCTAGTGGGTTAATTTACACTTTATTTTTTTTTTTTTAAGTTGATTATAAAAAAAAATTCAACATGGATTTAAAATCCAGAGAATGTCAGTAATGCTGATGTGGATCGGACAGAAACATCTTGATCGTCTTCTGATAGAAATGATATTCCATACAAAAAAGATCCTCAGATTCCATTTTTTGCTTCATTATTGTTTGTGGCTTGTTTTCTCTGAGCAATAAAGGGGTACATACACTTGTCCGCTCCTAGGAACCGATACATGCACACAACCGCTTCAAAGGGGAGGATGCTGAAAAAGGAAAGCCAGGGTCGTTAGCCAAGGCGAGACATCTCGCGTTACTTAAGTTGTGGGGGCGGGCAGGGAAAGAGCCGAGGGACGAGGGGAGCCCTCACAGTTACCTCTTCATGAAAGTCACGATGTACATGAGGCGGGGTGTGCAGATCATGGGCTGGTCAGTGAGGATGGCCTTCATGGCCTGCTTCACACAGTAATCGGGCTTCAGGGGGGGCAGAAAAGGCTCAATTTCTTTCCTGAAAGTTATAGATTCAAAAAACGAAATTAAGAGTGAACGCAAAATAGGGAAGACTGGAAATATATGTCAAAACATTAACAGTGACGTTATGTGAGTGACGGGATGTTGGGTCCATTTTGTTTTCTTCATTGTGCTTTCTGTATTTTCCAAATTTTCCTACTATGAACATATTTTATTTGCACAGCCTGGGAAATACGTTTAAAAAAAATACAGCAAAAGCGGTCTACTTTTCTGTGAAGTGAGAAAGTCATGTCTGTGAAATGCCTTCAAATGTATTTCAATTTATTTTTCTAATTTTTTATTTGAATAGAAAAAGGAGAGAGTGTTTGGCATAACAAACACTAAAAACCCAAACAAGACGCCAAACTTTTAGTATTAAGTGTAGTTAAAGCGACAGCGTGTGAACACTGATCTACCCTTTCTGAGTGACATAAACGTCAGCTACAGACGTTCCTGGATGCCTGACTAAGGAAAGCCAAGGTATTTTCTCTGAGGGGTCTCTGAAATGAAGTGCATATAGACATCCTACCTTCAGCTGAATTCATTAAGTTACACAGTGAAATGACCTAATAATGTGATTTATTTCTTTCCCTTTTCATTGTCCCACCACAGCTTTTGGCCCCTGCTGTGATGCAACATAGGAAACAGGCGCCTCAGATGCTCAGCAACTGGTTCCTAAGTACATAAGAGGGAAAAAACAAACCAATACACACACATGTGCGCACACGCGCACACACACCCACGCACGTGCACATGGGAAAAGATGCAGAGTGAGTCTGCTCCTAGTGCAGACTGGAGTCCACCCGCCTGAGACTGGAATGACCCAGATCACCCTCCACCTCCTTCACGGCTTGGTCAGGTTCAGGATGTGTTAAGAATGGCCTGACCAACAGGGAACTGGTTTGGTTATCTTCCCTTGCCTTTCAAATTCATCCAAGCAAAGATCTCACAGCAAGCATGTCTTCACAAGTATCCTCTTAATGATTCACGGTTTTGTTTATTCTGCTCAGCTCAAGTCAGATTCGACTTGACATTTCTATTCCCACATGCCTCCTTTCAAAGTGTGTGGGTATTTTATTTCATTTTTAGTAAATCTAAATGGTTCCTTTCATTCTGTCAGAGTGAATCTAGCTACGTACACTCTCTACAAAAAAGGAACTTCCAAATCTGCAGTCTAATCTGCAGGGTCTTTTTAGCAGAAAGGCTGTGACTCTTCTGTGACAGTGACATTGTTTTGTATCCAAACCAAAGTCACATATATTTACTAACACTAATATTAAAGAAAGGGAATAACTCCTAAAGAAGCAGCTTCTACAGGAAATCCTGGGTATCTGTCTTCTCCTTGCAGCTGCAGGGGAGCCATTTCCCATCTGATGCTTCTAGATTGACTTCTGCAAGCTAATGTCAGCCCCGCGCTCGTCAGTCTTATACAGCTCAATTTTACACACCCTGACCAATGAAAACTATAGGTTAGCCATGAAGTGGTAGTTATTAAAGCACAAGGCTATGTTCGAAGACCCAATCCCACATATTCTCCCAGGATGGAAAGATTACTTTTAAAACAGGTTTTTGTCAGTAATAAGACAGATTCTCACTGACCTGATTCGGCAGCCTCTGAACATGCCAGTGTCTACAAGGTAGGGGCAAACCAACGTTGTTTTAATTCCGTCCTTTTCAGCAGCCTTTAACTCATGGCTCAGGGATTCATGAAAACCCACGACTCCAAATTTACTGGCACAGTAATCCTGAGTTAGAGGGAGGGAGAAGAGAAATACTAAGGATGTGCACAGATGCTGGACCAAACCCGGGCTTCCCTGGTCCCATTTCTCTGGTTACATGTTGATACAAATGGCTACAGGTGACTAAGGAAAGGAAAGGAAAGCATTTTAAAGGACAGTTATCTGATGTGGTTCAGTGCAGAAATAATAGTTCCAAAGCAACAGCAGAAACAGATGAATACTTTTTGCCACATCAACGAAGTATCATATTACTTTGGGAAGTTACCACAAAGGATTCTATGAAAGTTAACAAGCTCAAGTTAAAAACAGAGAGAGGTTCACTTTGAAGTGTCTGGAGAATTTACAAACGGTCTCTTGTTCAGTAAAGGAGACTGAAAAACCAGTTTCTTTAGGTTATAAGTCGTTATGATCCGATTTTCTTTTTAGGGTAAAGTAAAAATGAAAACGATAACTACACCTTGTAAACCTAAACTGGAACTTACCCTAAGGACACACAGTATAGAAAGTAAGTTCTTCCCTATCACCCAACTTCAAATTTAGGAATGGAAATGCAGAATGCAGAAGCCATTCTGTGTCCTTTTGTGCACTTGCCCGGGATGATGTTTTCAATTTTACGCTACCGACACCCATAAGACGAACGGTGAAGAACCGTACCCACACACACGCCTTATAATTTGAATATGGGGAAGAACAGGGTTCGATTAAGCCCAGTTCTACAAACTTAAAATGCCAGACACCTCACATCTGCCGTGCCATCTCATCCGATGAGCTAATACAAGATAGCTCACTTTTGGCAGGTTGACCAAAACAGAACGTCAACCTTTGGCCTCATTTATCTGTTCCCCGTGGCACTGTCACTGCCCTCCACGTTTCACTCTCGACCCTGTGCCTCCCCACTGTCACCAAGCAGAACTGCTAAAGAAGATGGGGCATGCTGAGGACTGGCCCATGTCCTTGTCTTGCTGCTGCTGCTTTGTCAGACTAGTGTAAGTGATTTTACAGGCTTTTAACAGCTGGCCTGGGTTACTTGGAACACTCCACCACGAGCACAGAGGAACAGCACTTCGTGGGCTCTCATGTACGGGCTCAGGTACTCTTCTCAGGGTTTTGGTGTATTCGTCACGAGACAGACCGACTGAATGAAGGGAAGGTTTTATATTTGACAAACCTCAACTCCAGCAGTACTGAACAGTCCCAAGGAACTTGCAACTGTCACAATGTGGCCATGATTAATCTCCAGCATTGTAGGAAGAAAAGCTTTAGTGGTCTGAAAGAAAAGTAAGATTCCAGCTTTAGAAGTGACATTATGAGTTTCATCTCAAACCCAATCCAAGATCATGAAACAAAATCTTGCCCACGTAATGTTACATTTCCCCATTTGTTTAAAAATATTTTACATTTATCAGAAAGAGAAGATCCTTTAAGCGTCTGGTTAACTTACCACCGTAGCATTGGCATGGCAGGCCTATTATAAGCCGTGACCAACAAGACTGTAACACAAGAGCTTTTGGGGACAGTGTCCAGAGATGAAAAGAAAGCCATTAGTAGAAGGCTCTTTATCACCTTTCAAGTGATAGTTATCTGCTAATCTAAACTTCTCCCAGGTCAGAGATCTCTTCATGCTCATGACACTTTAGCACAACCATCTCACGGTCTGTGAGGGACCTCCAGCCTACCCAGGACTAGGTGCCTGGTACTACTGTTTATTTTACACGGCTATGTCTAAATAGTAAAAGACCCAAGAATGAAGAGAAATTCCAGCCTCCAAAGCTTTACCACCAAAGTGGACTAACAGGAGGCAAAGTATTTTAGGATGTCAAAAAACAGGGCAAAAGTACAGAATCATTTTAATGAAAAATGTGCCATAATGCTGACTCTTCACTGACAAGAACTTGTAGCATTCAGAACGACCACACTCCACTGCAGAGTTTACTGAGGAGTGACTTTCTCAAGGAGGCAGGTGACTGGCCACTCAGGGTAGCAGAGCACGTGGCAGAAGTTCCGCGACAGTGGACCCAGAGGTGGCATTGGTTTCTTATTCACTAAACTCTCTTTTCCCTCTAGCTCTCTTGCCTTCAAGATGTAAGGCTATATTTAAAAAAAAAATTACTTCAAATTACTTAAGATGATCTATTAACTACTCTACCAGGCTCCCAACAGTTTTATAACCTGCTTCTTAAAAGAAAGCAGCAAAGAGCAATCTGTCTACTGTTGAGTTATCTCCCACTGCCAACACAGCTTCCCATGATTTATGAAGTTAAAAAACCCAAACACTACACAGTGGACTTAAAGAACAGTTGCATTCCCTTCTGAGAGGATTTCCTGGCTGAGAGATCACTGAATTTTTGCATAAATATCTAATTTGTTATGATATCTTCTGCATGTACAAGATCAAAACCAGTCATTCCATTAATTTTGAAGTTTTTCCACGTTCCAATCCAGGATGCATACAGTTGCCAGATGCATCTTTGTGAAGCATCCCAAGGTCTTCCCCAGTGTGAGTCCTGATCATCACACAACCTCCTGCCCCGCTTCATACGTGATTTGTCTGGGCCTCTTCACTGTTGTTACCTATGTCACACTTCTTCTCACCTGTAATGTTTTACTCATGAGCTCTTCTCTTCTCTGACAATCCACCCCCAGTACTCTCCTACATACAGCTGGCCCTCCATATCTACAGATTCTGCACCCGCAGATACCGAGGGGTGACTGTAATTCAAAGTACAATATTAATCACATATTTACATAGCCTCTTATGCTTTTCAAAGTGCTCATGTCACCAGAGTCTCCCAATAATTCCCTATGGAAGGTGTTAAGCCTTTACCTAATATTATTCTAGCCCACACTGACTTTGCCCATATTCCTTTAAGACATATAGTTGGTACCATTCACCGTAACATATAATTCTGTTTCACGGTGTTTTAATTTTGATCATTTTATATTTACTTGTCTGGCTGCCCCAGACTAAACTGGGAGATGTAGATTACTCTTTCAACTATTAAGGGGGAACTACTACCCTGTGACAGGAAGGAGGAAGAAGGATGTGAACAATACTTCTTATGTATTTCAGAAACCTGGCACCCTGTTGGGTGTAAGACACACAGTTCAGCTTGGTTTTATCTGCTTGTAGTAGTAAGTGGGAATGGTTAGGGTAATTATGATAGCAATTATTATCTTGGTCTGCTTGATAGGCAAAAAAGGCAAGACCTGGTACTTCAGGTCATTATAGGTTCAATTTTTGGCTTTACAGCTTATATATGGCCATTATATCACAGAATTGCAATAAAGTAACACCACAAAGAAGGTTATATATTCCAATCTAGACTAGAAAGCATATCCTTAAGTAATCAAGTCTGTAAGTCTCCTTTTAGTATCTGGTTATGATTAATTGTCCCCAGATTAGCTAAACAGTATAAAGTTTAGTCTTGATGTTATCCAGAGGTCATTTCTAAGGATTAAAAGTTTGCCTAGTCTTGGAGAACGGGGATAGATTTAACACGAAGGCCCTATTTTTAAGTTCTTACATAAGTGGAAGGACTCAATATTAAATCCTAAGAAATTACACACAATATAGAATACCAGTAGGCACTTGCTACTTGGTAGCCTGACAAATCTGAATCGCTGACTGTGCTCGTTCACATGGCCCGCGTCCACTCTGACTCTGGCTGGCGGCTGGCCCTGACCAGGAACACAGACAGCAAGCGGGTTGGCTCTAACGAATCCCCCGCATCGTGTGCGATGTTGCTGCCTGCAGGCGTTAAACGACTAATCCAGATCCCCAAGCCATATCAAGGTAGGTGACAGAAGATTAACAAATTCCTAACTGTTTTTTAAGTTTAGTTTGTTGCAAGGTTCTGAAAATGATTAATGTTCCCTCCCCTTCCCCTGAAATTAGTCTGGTAATGTTAACTTGTTCATTCAACAAGCATTCCTTGAACAGCTATTACATGCAGATGCTGTACTATGATCTGGCCAAACAATGATGGGTAAAATGGGAGCTGGTCCCCTTCCTGTCTCTAAGGAGAATTTATACTCACCAGCACTTAGCTGTGTTGAATCAGTACATCAAATATAAAAGAGTTCTCCTTTATCCTTCTCAAAGGCAGGGTAAAGGGTGCATATTCTGAAACTGTGATTTGGGTCTGCTCCCCCCACTTCCGCCCCAAGTAGTCTGGAGGGACGTTAAAGCTACTGGTTTTGTATTTAAAGGAAAAAATAAAAAGAGAAACAAAAGAATCTAAATATGGCTATGTGACTAAAATTTTTTTCCAATTGTGGGTTGTAAACATATTTTTTCAGGGAAATATGCTTCCCTTTAAGTAACTAGTGAAGTGTGACACAGATTTGCTTGTTTTAATATGAAGCTTTCTTTTGAGAGGGAGGGGTTAGTTTAAAAAAAAAAGGTAGTGGCAGGCCAAAGCTTCATATAAAATAGGGGATTCCTCTCTCTAATCAGGGACAACTTTGGCCATCTGTATACATGAGATCCAATGTTCCTTGCGATTTCTACATTCTAAGACAAAGGCCTATACTCTTCATTTAGAAGGGCTCACCAATTATAGGTCTAATGCCACAGTTACTACCGCCATTCCTAACAACGTGGAGAACAACAAGCAAGATGCTGAGGAAACTGGAGATGAAGTCAGCTATCCGAGGCCCCGGTCAGCCTTGGAACCCAGACTGGTTGTCTCCCCAAGCTGGTGTCAGACACTCAGCTCCTACTGTGTGCCGGGCAATGGCGAGGCTGAGATAAGGGCATTCCCATCAGGACCACTCAAGTTTCTTTGCAAATCTGAATTTCCAGGGTTCAGGCTGGAGCCTGATCCACGTGACTGAGCACTAGGCTGTTAATCATTTCCTTTGCTGCCTGAATGGAGTCAAGCAATTACCGCTCGTGTGTTATTTCCACAAGCAAACTCCTGCCTTATGTCTGGGGCACATTACCAAATAAACTTTGATCAACGCTAATTCTATTCCGTTTTTTACAAGAAAAATGCAATAAATGGGTGGCTAGAAAGCATCACATTTTCAGGAATTTTCCCAAGTAACCCGACTAGTTTTCTTTTCTAATTACTCTTGCCCTCAACAGTCTGGTAGATGACATCTGAGATAGCACAGCATATTCTGTCCTTGACACAGTTTGACAGCACAAAGAAATCTGGCACTTTGTAATGAATTATTAATGTGCACAAATATTGTAGCATGTATGAGATGGGGACCAGCAAAAGGTGAAGTGCCCGTTGCCATGACACCAGTCAGTTCAAGCTAAGGTTCGTGATCTTTAACTTTGTCTCAAAGAGTCGCTGGGAGAACACAGAGGCAAATCTGAAGTGCACGCTCCAATGGCTTAGTATAAATTCACGCGTGTGCTGCCATCGGTGAATCTGAGAGGGGCGACTCAGATTCCCCACCGAACGCCAGGACTGCAGTGGTATCTTAACTGTAAGGATGGACTATCTAGGTCAGGAGTTACCACTAGTAAAGGGGTCTGTAAAGGAAGTACATTTGATCAGTCACCAGAGTTAGTTGGTGCCAACGGTAGTTGGCAAGGTTAGCTAGATGCTTAACCTAAGTCACAGAATGGCACTCCATCGCTATGCCCTCTTATTCAAATGTCTAAGAAACAGGAGGACACCTAGCTTGCCATCAGGAAAATATGGCTGACTCTTGATCGAGGGGGTGTCAAACTCAGTAACCAATATACACCAATCGGTATGTTCAGTGAGAGAATTTAGAGTTCAAAGGGACCTGGGGTTATCTTACCTGCAAAAGAGAAAACTCTTAATAATGGACTCTGGCTAAAAAGTGTTAACGATAGACCTTTGATTACCTGTGATTAATTTTATCACATGACTCTTAACACCACAATCTGCCACCAGCTGACAGGGTTGCTACGTGACTAAAAAGAAGAAAAAAAAAAAGGAAAGAGGACATTCAAATGGACACTGACATTCCTATGAAACATGCTTAACAAGTCTACTGTCTCCAGACCTCCTCAGGGTTCCTCTTCAAAGCACTATGCACTCTGAAAGATAACTGTAAAGGTCATATTTATAATATAAACAAGAACTTCTTAAACAGAAGTGTGACTGGACATAGACATGACATGTCATATCTCGAGAAATCTTTGAATGTTAGGTTTACGCCAAATTAACTTCCAACAGTTCCAACCCTCCAGATCATTCTTGGTGCTTTTAATGACAGACTGCAATGCAGAGTCTGCAGCTGCACTGTCAGGACAAATTAGCCTAAAGTTAAACAAAAGAG